TAAAACCTCGCAAAAGGCATAAACTTTCAGTGAATATCCTTTACTAAACAAATTTCATATGTCGTAGTCTCTCAGCGACAACTCGTATAGATGCGCATATGCGATTAATAATCTTTGACGGATTGCACTGCGCATGCGGGATGACGTACGGTCGGCGCGCGGTCAATGGGCGCACGTGAATATGATCACTGTGCATTGCGCTTAGCACTGTTTATTACCTGATGTACTGCTTTGCCGGGCGAACCAACCGTTATGGCGGCCGACTGATTTTTGCACAGTAATTGAACTGTTCGAGTTGTTAAATCACAGTATTTACTTGGTCTACGTTTGATTTCACAACATAGGTACACTGAACTGATACGCGTTTATAACGTGATACGGGTTTTTTTTTTAAATCTGGAATTGTACGATAAGTATACATTTTCAATAATAAACCGGGAGCTCGCTTTTTAACAATGTTTGCCTTTTGACGAGGCGGCAAAGATGAGGTTTGCAAAACTAAAATGGTGATGATGAATGAGTATGCAAAACATGCAAGGTAATTCAGAATTGGGGTGTGTAACTTTTTGTATGAATGCCTATTTAGTTTAATATTGATTTTATGTTAAAAATTTAACAAACCGTGCTAAAACCAACTTCGGCTATGGAAATCCCTGTTGCTACTTCGACACCCATTATCGAAAGCACACTATTCTCTAAGTCTGTGAGATACATTTTTAGAGCGGACCCACCACTAGTACCGTGAGCAGTTCTATTTATTTATGCCCACTTCCTTTTCGTATTATTTTTTAAATCACTCCACACCTTTTGCAAACCAAATAAAACGTTAATTAACTGGAAATTCTGAGTACATGGTATGAGCCATGCATTTATGTCTATGTAAGCGCTCTTGATTTGTATTGACAGTTTTAGAAAAATAAATCTAGAACTTACTTTTGGCCACTTTTCTTCACTGCGAGACCGATTCCTTGGGTGTTAAGCAAATTACTTAACTCCTTCCCTCTTTCTAATACACCACTGTCGCCCCTTCGATAAATCACCATTCCTTAGAAATAAACATAATATTCATTACTTATTAAGCATCAATATACGATGAATGTTGTTGTGTATCAATATACAGCTACTTAATTTTCCATGAACTCTACCATTTTGTAAACTGTGTGGCTAGTTCTTGACGACATTATTTAAAAATTCAGCAAAAATTACTACAATAAATTTACAACACAAAAATTTACTAACACAACATGAAGCGATACAAACTAGTATGAAGTGTAAGCGCGCGAAGTCAAGTGTTTAAACTTAATCTTAAAATGGCCGCGTTCGGAAATCATAACCCACAAGACGTAAATAATAAACTTAAAAATGATCCTCCATATATAATTATAAAAATAGTGTTTTTGTTTAATAACTGTTTGATATTAATTAACACTCTAAGTTAAATAAGTTTCATCACGTTAATTATTTACGCAATAAAAATAAGCAATTTATAAACGTATCATTCGTTTTCATTCGTTCGTTTTAACATTGAGTTCTAAGGTTTGTTTACTAGTAACAAAATCCGTTACGTTAGTTAATTATTCGTGCTCGAAGTACTGATAGATAGAAGTTTGCGTAAGGGTATTTTTGAGCGGTAAGGTGTGTTGTGGGTTAGATGGTGTACTACAATTAATGGTCGTTGAATTCTGTACTGTATCTGATGTGAGAGTGGTGGGGCTAGAATATATCTGGGAAGTAAGTTCTAGCTCCTTATTTAGTCGCTGATTAACATCGTGTTTTATCTGTTTCAGTATTTCATCTTTGTTGAGTTACTTTTATTTCGGAATATTGAAGTCTGAATTCGTCAAATATTTTTTTTCCGTACATACAATACAATACAATAACTTTATTTTAGGCATCAAGGACTTAAAAATTAAGAACATTGGCCCATAGCAATATATACCTTAACCTAAAAATATATATAAAATATAGACATAACACTATTTAGGGAACTCTTTTTCTTTGGCGCGTCCCTGTATCGGCGAAACACTACCCCAGAGGGCCAGTAATCGGGAGCGAGGAATGTGTCTTTATGTTTTGCAGGAACCTGGAGTACGTAGGATTTGAAGTTCGTTGACTCCAGACGCTGCAAATGTAAAGAGATCGGATCCTCAATGCGGCATCGGCTTCGTTCTTCCACGAAGCGCAGGACGTCTTCTCCCGACGTACTTTTGTCCAAACGGGAGATGTAGAGTTGTATAGTTGGCTCCATAGCACGCAGAGTTGTACTCGCGTTTATTTTCGCGGTCCCACGCTGGTTACAGACGGGTCGCGACCGACGTCTCTTCCCAACAAAAGTAAACCCGTCCTTATCAATCTTGTCTTGGGTCACCACTGGAACTGATTTTATTTCCACATTCTTCTGCTTTCGACCACAATAGGGTGCCGGTTGTAAAGATTTTCGGGCAACATCCGCAAACGTCTTCTCTTGTGTTGAGGTTGGCTTCGGCGGAGTAGTACCAATGGGTTCAGTCAAGGGTTGAGGTGGTGATGCAATGACGACCGAGGTCGCCCTAGTTTCTCGGTCATCAACCCGCTGACAGACGGTATCGCGTGACGGAGTCGCAATCATCGGTGAAATATGACTACTATTACGGTTACCGCGTGTCGTATTCACATTCTGCGACGGCGGTGAATTTGCAGATGTTGCAATTTTGTTGCGCAACATATTGACTTCGTTCCTCAGCTCTGTTGCGGCTCGTTCTGATTCCTCAAATTTGGAACGGATGTCGGTAATATCGGCTCTCAACGTGGGATGTCTTTCAACAATCTGGTGACGTCTACGTGATCGAACGTCACGGGAGGCAGCTTGTTGAGATCACGCGCGACGAAAGTTGGGATGTCATCAGGGTCGGTCTCATTGAACAGTCTGAAGATGTCTTGCAGGTCTTTCTTACCGCGTCCATCCCTGTGACGTGTGATAAGACGGATTTGGGTCACGGCTGAATCTGCTAACACCTTCTTCGCTTGGATGATCTCGTCCTCGGTGAAGCTTGTCATCAGTATCTGCTCCAGAGACACCTGGTCCATGACGTCCAATTTTTGTTAAACAAAGGCCAGCAACTCGTGGATTACGACGGTTTCGGAACGTTTAGGTTGACACGCCATTTCGAGTTATTTTTGCGCAGTAGGTATGCTTACGCTACAAAAATACTGTAAGTTCGGCATTAGAGCCGTCACGTCATTATGAAGCGACTGCACTAACCGGTAGTAAAATTGCGACATAGTCATATTGGTTTTTAATTTTGTGATGAAATAATAAGTGCGCATGATGAATATATATAAATCATCATCCCATTTCATGCGTACTCCGGGTTTTCCGGCTTTGGTGGTCGCATGTTGTGAGGTAGAATATAACACATGCGAAACATCCTTAGTCCGGGTATTGGAGTCTGGGATATTTTCTTTTATATTTAATTCGGCTGTATATAATTTTTCGGGTGGAACCGCCTACTCAGTCACCCACCGCCGATGGATCGTATGCTGCTACACCCAGCAACGGCGCCAAATGCACCCTGGCGATTATCCCCAGGCAGCTTACCTACCCTATACTTTATTCTCTTGAACGTAGCTCCATATTAAATGGGTAACCATTGCGTTGTTAGCCGCATATGTTTTGAAAGTACGCTTTTCGGCCCACCACGTGGACAGTTGTTTGACACGGACGTAAGGTTGGGTTTTAGGGTATACTGATCTAACAGCTTACGTCGAACACTAACGATGAGGAGCTATTCGAGAATCCAGGTTGATAACCCAAAGATTACAATACAACGTCTGGATATCTATTTTTAAGTTTCTGCAGAGCCTTAAAGCCTATGAACACTCTTCCAGTGGAAGCCATATCTTTTAACTTCGCTTGTATTTCGCTAAAGGTATCAATGGTCTACTCTTTTTTTATATAATAAGGGTGACAAACGAGCACACATTCCACGTGATGGTAAGTGGTTGCTGTGGTCCATAGACATCTATGTACATCTATCATCGTTTGTGAATTAAAATGCAGACGCGTTGTCAGTCGTAAGAACTTTGCCGATGATTCCACCGGCCCACAAACCACACTAAACCGTTGTTTTTTCTGGATGAAGTGGCAGTTCTTGAATCTCTTCAGGTTGCTCTTTGTCTCAAATTCGGCAATTTTGTTTGTTTACATACCCATTGAGCCAAAAATGGGCCAAATCACTAAACAAAATTTGCCTCAAAAACGTCGGATCTTCTTGGAACTTTTCAAGAGTCCATAGAGCGAAGCGATGTCGCTTGGGAAGGTCGAGTGGCTTCAGTTGTTGCACAAGCTGTATTTTGTACGCTTTCAATTTAAGATCTCGACGCAAAATGCGTCAAGTCGTTCCATACGTCTGTCCGAGTTGCTGCGAACGGCACCGAATCGACTTACCACGGTCTTCGTGTACACTCTCAGCTACGGCTGCTATATTTTCTTCACAGTGTGCTGGACGTGGTCTATTCGGTCGAATATTATCCAATAATGAATGCTGGGTCTCAAAATGGGTGATGGTGTTGCGAATAGTACGCTCAGTAGGCCGATTATGTCGACCATATGTTGAGCGAAGTGAACGAAACACATTCCTCACAGAACGTGAATTTTCGTAATAAAGTTGAACGATTTCTAAACGTTATTCAGGCGTAAGTCTTACCATTATGGAATGCCAAACAATACTAAACAAAAATAACATGACAGCATGACACGACTCACACGCGATCTGTCAAAAAAAGGCAATTTAAAAAGGTATCTCTACTTGAATCACCCGTTAGTAGGAACTTTAAGGGCATGTTCAGTTCATGAAACTAAACCACTTTTTCTTCTATTATTATTTAAATTGCATTAGAAAAAAAAATTATCAACACACTTATTTTTACATAATGTCGCTTTGTTTTGTGAGAGTATTTTCTTTTCGAATTCAATATAGCAACTGAAGAAAAAATGCTTAGAAACTGAACATAAACTAGTATTATAAACTAGTTTTGTTGAACCCTATATATGTATATATTAATTTTTCATAGGAATCTAAATTTTGATAGGCCTTCAGTAATGCTTCACTGATAATGTTTTGTCCTTTTAGTGGTACTTCGTCTGATGTAATAATTTGAATTTTGTATTGAGAAGTAGAAGTAGAATATGACGTTGTGGAGGTTGAAGGAAGGCTTGGAATTGGTGATGTATTTGGCAAAGGTTCAGGATATGATGGTTGAGAGGTTGAAGGACGGCTTGGAATCGGTGATGTATTTCGCAAAGATTCGGAATGTGACGTTTGGGAGGTTGAAGGATGGCTTGGAATCGGTGATGTATTTGGCAAAGGTTCGGAATATGAGGTTTGGGGGTTGAAGGATGGTTTGAAGTTGGTGATGCATTTGACAATACTAGGGAATATGACTGGTATGGGACTGAGTAATGGGGTTTGACGCCTAATTAGCCTCTCCTTTATCCTATTAATAAATAAAGTGTCTATATCGTACATAAAAAGTTTTCTATCATCAGGAGGAAGTTCTCTCAATTTTTTTGCTAACAATTTGGAAAATATATCGAAATTGTCGTATTCCTTTGGTGGCGGTGTACGTTCGTTCTGTATTTTTGTCAAAATATTTGTTAACTGCCCAAAGGCCGCCGACATCTGCCGCTTCGGTAAATCGGCGGTGGTGTGACGACGGGAATTTTCAGATTTTGGAGTATGGGAAAAAGTTAACGGCTGTGCTAAATTGTTCTCTTCTCCATCTTCTACTTCTATCTCTGCAGTTTTATTTGGTATTTCTTGTGAAGATGATCCCTGTAAAAATTAAACAGGTAAAACGTACTGTTTTAGTTTGTTCTCTTTATAGCTGACATTGTTACATTTTGATTTCAGATGCCATTAACAGCCGATGTTTGGATGAATATAGAAAGGGGTGTGTTTAGGCCCAAATATGGGTATTTGAAACGTCATCCAATCGCGTTTGACTCAGTGCATCACCCGATGGTGTCGAGGTGAGGTAAACGCCGCCGGGGGGGGGGGAGGTGAGCGGCCGTGTGCCGGCTCCCGTTATTCCGGCCGGTGGGCTGATCAATAGCTTGCCAGCAGCGGCTCTGTCGACTAGCGTATTTTTTTGTGACCGCTGCTCCGGTTTCGCGCGGCCAGCTTTTGGTTTTGTGGTCTAGAATTTGAGTATTTGTGTGCGTTTAATTTACTATTGAATTTGGGTCTCGTGTAGACCGCCTCGAATTAGTTTGTCTATGTTGTACGTTGCGTTTAGAAGTAATATGTTAAAAATCCTTCCATCCCTTTCTTATAAGATCAATGCAGACTATTTATATAGAGAATTATTTACATTTATTAACAATGAATTTAATAAAACATTCACTTCTAAAACATTCTGCAGAAACAGTCGCAAGGCATTTAATGAGTGGGCGACAGTAGGAATTCATAAAAGCAGACGAAGGTTATATGACCTTTACCATGAAAGATCGTATAATCTTTCCGATGGTTTTAAAGAATAAGTAAAAAATTATTCTAAAATGTTTAAAAGAGTTTGCTCCACAGCCAAATCATTACATATTAGTAACAAAATTAAGACGGCTAAGAATAAAATTAAAATGACGTGGAGTATAATTAACAGCGAAACCGGTAAAGAGAAACCTCATAACTCAAACTATCAATTAAAAATTAATAATGAATTGACTAAATCAAATCAAGAAGTTGCAGCGGTGTTTGAGAAATATTTCACTGATGTTCCTATCTTGACAACAGAGTCATTGAATGCTTCTCCAACTGTCGCCGAGTCATTACTTAAATAGAATGTTAATACCTGTTTAAAAGAATTTAGATTTGAAAAAGTATTACCGTATAATATTGTAAAATACTTCAAAAGCATTGATGTAAAGAAAACCGCAGATTTGTGGGGGATTTCCGTTACAGTGATTGCGTACATAATAGATTTAATTGCACCTCATCTTGCTATTATTTTTAATACTTGTATCGATTCTGGTGTGTTTCCTGATTTAATGAAGTATAGTAAAGTAATACCTTTATTTAAATCTGGTAGTACATTGGACCCCGCTAATTATAGACCTATTTCTCTACTACCAACTCTCAGTAAAATTTTTGAAAAAATAATTTTGGATCAATTGTTAATTTTTTTTAATACAAATAAATTACTTCATAAAAATCAATTTGGTTTTACAAGGGGTCGCTCGACGTCTGACGCCGGTGTTGAGCTTATGAAATATATTTTTAATGCCTGGGAGAATTCACAAGATGCCTTGGGTATTTTCTGTGACCTTTCCAAGGCTTTCGATTGTGTTCATCATGATACATTAATCAGGAACATACATACACATTAAACAGGATACAACATTACGGTGTAAAAAATTTGGCGCTTAAACTTATTACTTCATATTTAAGTAACAGAACTCAAAAAGTCGTCATCAATGGTAAATGTTTCTCCGGATCGGTAGTATCAATGGGCGTTCCTCAGGGCTCGATTCTTGGCCCATTCCTGTTCTTAATCTATATTAATGACTTACCTTATCTTGTAGGGGACAATCACGATATAGTATTATTTGCTGACGATACCTCTTTATTTTCAAACTGAAACGGCAGTTAATTAAATATGACGATGTAAATAATGCTCTATCGAAACTAGTACATTGGTTTAACGCCAACAATTTGCTCTTAAACGGCAATAAGACAAAATGTATTAAATTTACAATACCTAATGTAAAACATTCGAAAACCAATGTGCTCTTAAATGGGGAGGAGTTGAGTCTTGTGGATACTACTGTTTTTCTCGGTATTACTATTGACGCGAAACTTCAATGGGGCCCCCATATATCTAAATTAGCAAGCAGACTTAGTTCTGCAGCATATGCTGTAAGAAAGATTAGAAGTCTCACAGATATTGAGACAGCTAGGTTAGTGTATTTTAGTTACTTTCATAGCGTAATGTCTTATGGAATTTTGCTATGGGGTAATGCGACTGATATTGAAGCTATATTTGTTTTGCAAAAGAGAGCCGTACGGGCGATTTATAATCTAAATTGTAAAGAGTCCCTTAGAGAAAAATTTAAAGAAATAAACATATTAACTTTGGCATCGCAATATATTTATGAAAATGTAATGTATTTACATAAAAACATAAATAGCTTTAATAAGAATAAGGATGTTCATACCTTAAACACTAGGAACAAACATAAGCTTGTAATACTACTTACTAGACTCTACAGAATTAGTAATTCATTTATGGGGCAATGTATACGCTTTTACAACAGAATCCCAGAACATTTTCAAAGTTTGTCAATAAACAAGTTTAAAAGTTTTATTAAAGAAAAACTGTACAAAAAGGGTTATTATAATATCAAGGAATACATGAATGAAAATAAACCCTGGGAATAAGGTGATCGCCACCATGCTGGTTCTATGAAAATTCATTTAAAATTGTATAAACAAAATTATTGTTAAGTGAAATTATGTTTTAAAAAAAAGTCCCGCTGGGTTTCTTGCTGGTTCTTCCCAGGACAGAGGTATTTTCCGAACCAGTGGTAAATAAAATAATGACTTTCAATAAGTATTATGTAATAATCCATATTGAATAAAAATCATTCTATTCTATTCTATTCTATTCGTGACAAGAGGCTTGTATTGAATTTGACTGATTAAAGTAATTTCGTTTGCAAGTAATTACGTCAATTGTATAGTGATTGCATGTTGAAGTGCATTTTGCAATATTTAACTTGCTTGTGTGACGTGGAACCTTGCGCGCACGCCGAGTGGACAGACGGTCTGGAATTTGATGCTCGCACTCCATTTCGAGGGCGTGGCCCGGTTAATTGCTTTTGGAAGTTAATGTTGAATTGTACCTTCGCGTTAAGTGCCTTTTGTGTGTTGACTATGTAGTTAGTTTTGCGTGTCAGCTAGGCTGATTTTGAGTTCTTATTGCGGGCGTAGTATTTAATATCGTACGGAGGAATTTAGTTTGTTGTTTGGAACGCTGAACTTTGTGACTCGAGAAGAGATCGCGTTCGTTCCCTGTTTGTTATTTGGTGCTAAATGAACCCGGAACATGAAATGAATATTGAACTTTGAAACAGTGAAATGAAGGCAGAAATTTTCCATGGGTGATCCACGACTGGAGGGAGCGCGCATTGGGAGAACATCAGCTCCGGTGGATTTTCTGTCCGATTAAATCGGGCCGTCAGGTCACATATATAAACACTACTACACACTACTTACATGCACCTGACTTATCACTTGACTGGTACCCGGTGATCAACTCTACCTCCTGAAATAGGTAAGTGCTTGTTTATTTGTCAGCCGTTTTTTTTCGGTACGTTTATCCTAGGTCGTTGGGCCCCGTCCTCTGTTGCCCGTCGATTGGATTACTGATGGGCCCTAGTCCAGTCAACCTTGTCGGGGCAACTCAGGGCGTGTACAGGGGATATAGAAAATTCCCACACTGTCGGCAAACACAGCAACCATATTCTTATAGAAAGCGCACTACTAGTGGAACTCAATATTTCAACTATAAGAAAACGTTTAGCATTGTTCTTCTGGCATTAGTTGACGCCAATTACAGAGGGCAATGGCGAACGCCCATATAAATTTTTATGTCATTTTATGTCAGTTTACACTGGAAGCGTCTTTATATCAAAAATATCAAAAGCGATTCACCATCCTTCCCTTATGGTGCATCCACACATGCCCGGCGGCCGACCCGGCGGACAGGCCATCGTTCATCAGAGTGGTAGTGTTGTAGTATTCGTGAATAACATAATTTCATATACTTAAATAACGAAATGACAGAATTTAACTGTGATGATAGTGCAGTACTTTTATTAATAGAAAATTATCAAGAAAATGAACTATTGTGGAAGCCAAGGCATATCGATTTCAAGAATCGCAACAAAAGAAATGATGCTATTAGGGATATTGCTTCTGGGTTCAACTTAGAATCATCAGAAATTGAGAGAAAACTAAAGAATTTATCCAGCCATTATTTTCGAGAAAAATGCCAATAAGAAGAATCTAAAATGATTGGATCTGGACGGGAAGATGTTCAATTGCCGAAATGGTTTGCTTATAAAGCCTTGTATCCACTTGAGCATGCTCGGGCGAATGAGCCGCTCATTCGCCTGAGCATGCTCAGAGGAACAAAATGAATGTTTTGGTCGAACGAGCCTCAACATTGAAAAAGCTGTGCTCAGGCTGCTCAGTATATGCTCGGCTCCGTCATGTCTTCACGTGTCCGTGTAGCTGCTGCTGCCTTTATAATCATTCACTGTGCCATAAAGAAGAAGAGAAAACCACCAAGGTGGTGGACGAGAGAAATGTATCGTCATCGAAGAAACAACTCGGCTAATATAATTCGTGAATTGACTTTCGAAGGAGATAACGAACCATTTACCAACTTTACAAGAATGTCAAGGATTGATTTTGAATATTTACTGTTATTGATCATCATTGTCCGCTGTTTTTTTCAAAAGTTCATATGCACTCTTTACCATTGGATTGTCATATTCTAGTTTCTTTTTCTTAGCACTCTTTTGTTTTGGAGGGCGCATTTCACTGCTTGCGTCATTGTCATTAATAAAATTTTATAATTTATTAATCAAAAATAAACAAAAAAGCATTTTCAACATACAAAACGTCTTGGGTTCGGTTTTCCTGTAAAAAAAAATTAATAAGGAATTGATGCATTGTAATTTGTTAATGGTTTGTTATTCTGCTTCAGGTTCCTCGAACAGAAAGTGAATGACTAGATATATCACGAAACTTCGAAAAAAAGTGGAACTACCCTCATTGTGTTGGGGCAATGGATGGCAAGCATTTTCAAATCATAACACCGCCCCATAGTGGAGCTGAATATCGAAACTATAAAGATTTCTTTAGTATTGTATTATTTGCGGTAGTAGATGCTGACTATAATTTTACATATGTTGATGTTGGATGTAAGGGTAGAATTTCTGATGGAAGTGTATTTAAACATACCAATTTATATAGAGAACTTGAAAATAAAGCTGAATATTCCGCCACCAAAGATATTGCAAATTCCTTATAATGTAAAAGTACCTTATTGTTTTGTAGGAGACAACGCTTTTGCTCTTAATGAATATACAATGAAACCACTTGCTGGTAATAATTATATACGAGGTTCTCTCGAACGAATTTACAACTATCGACATTCAAGACCTAGACGAGTCGTCGAGAATGAATTTGGTATTGTCGCATCCGTTTTCAGAGTATTACGTAAATCGATTGCAATGGACACTAATAATGCGGTTTCAGTTGTAATGGCTATTACGCATTTGCATAACTTCATGCGTCAAAGAAACTATACTAGAGAATACTACTGTCCCATTGGGATTTTTGATAGGAAAGAAAATGGCGAGATAATTCCGGGTACATTTAGGAACGATGAGCCATTACAATCCTTCTCTTCTTTGCCACACGTACCCAGGAGATCTACCAACCAAATCAAAGAAATTCGTTTGCATATCGCACGGCATTTTATAACAAATGCAGAATTACCTTGGCAATACAATATTAATTAAATTTTTACTTATAAGAATTTTCTGAAAATTAGCTGAGCTCAAAATTGCCATAATATTTTCTGAGTTGGTTGACGCAGTTCATTACAGTTCAGTTAATTTTCACAAAATATATAACCACCAGGAATAGTGTACCTTTATATTAGTGAAAGAATTATCCATATTGGACCAGAAGCACCAGAGTAATCTCCGGTAATGTTTGCGGGTTTGTTGTGTTTGTGAGTTCCAAACTCGCAAACATTACCTCTTTATAATATCAGTATAGATTATGAAAATAAATAAACTTACATTAAAACTATCTCGAGTTTCATTTGGTTCACTTTTATCCCCAAATGCAAACCATTTTGACACATACGCTTGATCTTGACCTGAAACAAAAATATTGGATTTTGTTATTCATATACATGTATATGGTATGTAAATAAATATAACATGTTGACGGATCAAATAAACACTAATAACACTTACCACTTCCCGTTTTAGAACTTCGTTTTTGCTTTGATCGTTCTCGTCTAAATGAACCTGTCAAGCTTACAATTTTTTTTACATCGTCTACACTAATGTTTAATGTATCACTGATATCACGTCAAGCATCTTCTTTTTTTATGCGATTATAGTATTCTTCGTATATACTATCCCATAACACCCTCTTTGATTCATATGCATCAATTAATGTTAAACAAGTCTCGTTATCCTACAAGCCACTCATTTTTCAAATAACAGAAAAAGTAAACGTAATTAAACTATATTAAACTCGGGGAATTCGACGCGCTCGCCTCAAACACAAAAAGAACCGTCCACACTGAGCGACGAGCGAATACTGAGCGCCTTTGAGCACGGACAAAAACCGACAGATGCCGGCTCGCCCTGAGCGCGTTCGGATTTGCTCGGGCCGAGCGTGCTCAGGCGTCTCCACTTAACCGGCTCGGCCAAATGAGCCGCTCATTCGCCTGGGCATGCTCAAGTGGATACAAGGCTTAAGGCGTTATCATTTCTTATTGACAAAAATGCACCGGTACCGACTCTGAACAGCCACACACCTAGTGTAAGTACCTATCAAATTCTTATAATTAAGTAGACTAGTTGGTCGCCCATTGGTCGAAATTAAACCATAATTACTTTAAAATACATTTAAAATACATTATTTCAATAAGTAATATTTTCGTAAATAGGGGTACAAAGTTTTAACCTCGCGTATTAATATTAGATACCTACTACCTACTGTAGTGTGTTAGGGCAGGTTAAGGTAAACCTATCAATTAAACACTACTTTTATAAAGAAATATAAATGTTTATTAACATCGATTTTCTACGTGGTAGAGCCATGCTGCAGCTATATTAAGGTTGTAGCACGAATGGGTCGGCTCGACCGGGGAAGGACCACGCTCTTACAGAAAACCAGCGTAAAAGAGCAGCTTAACGCTGCTGTGTTTCGTATGGTGAGTTTAGAGAACCGGAGACCCTTTTTACTGGCAAAAAGGTATTCCATCTTCGTCCTCACGGGTGACAACGCATCTGCATCTTGAGTCTTTATTGAGGATAGATGTAGATGTCTATGGGTCACAGTAACCACTTACCATCAGGTGGACTGTGTGCTCGTTTGTCACCCGATCCTATAAAAAAAATCGATTAAACTAAAAACAATAATGCGCGGCGCGAGTTACGAAAAGACATGCATTCGCCGTAGATGTTAAGCTTGTTTGCAATTATTTATAAGATTTCCTTTTTATTTTCAGTCTTCTCAAGATAATATCACACCCCAGACTACGCTACCTTCGACAAGGACTTCACGAAAACGAAATATAGAGAGAGATCCTGAAGTTTATGAAGTTTTGCAATTACTGAGGGAGATTACATCTGATGCAAGGCAACGCGATGATGCTGCTATATTTGCAGACTATATAAGTAGCAAGTTGAGGAAGATGGATCATTACACGATGTGTACAGTACAACATTAAATCCAGAATATTGTCTATGAAGCAGGAATGAGAATGGGTTGTATGTATTTTGATAGGACCAATAATATTACTCAGCCTCTTCGTTATCAAAATGTTCGTCCAGGATACTTCATAGGCCAACCTACAACGTCAGCAATGTCACTGTCGCGCTCAACTTCGCGCTCTTACTCTGTTCAATCAGACTATGAAATTCAAAATAGCGCAGATGTCAACACAAGTGACAGTCGATACGTAGGATTGGAACTTACGAAACATAGAAGCATCAAGCTACTATTTGACGTTGGTATTCTATGAGAGCGTGGTCCTACCCCGGTCGAGCCGACCTATTCGTGCTACAACTATACTACTAATATCTAATATAGCTGCAGCATGGCTCTACCACTTATAAAATATTTATTAATATTATTCGACTAAGGATAAATAAAACAAGAAATTAATTATACAACATTTATTCTTCATCATCTTCCCTAACAATTACCCAATCAAAAAACTGTGCCGGTGCTGAGATGTCTGGCCCATCCTAAATACCAAACTAAGGTCATGACATGTGCGCAAGAGCCTACTGTGCGCCGACCTACTAAACAACTACAGCAGTACCCTGTGATTCCTGTTCGGCCAGGTATATTATTTTCTAATAAAATATAAACATAATATTGTCTCCGAGTTACATGCCTTGACTTAATTCTACCTCTAATCAATGTAGTTCCATTTGTAGAACCCCTAAGATCGTATTCAGATGAATGAAATTGCTCACTACAGACTTCTATTCTGTATCCGTCATGGAAACGCACATGCTCGCCGTAATATGAGCGAGCTTGTCGAATTTGGTACATTCCCAGGGCGAACAAAATCAGATCTCTCGTTTCTAATATTGGAAAATACAAAATGTCTTTTTTTTAAATTTATTTAAGGCAACAAACAGTCATGTATAAAGATAGTAACATGGATAAATATTAATATAACTAAAGACCTATAGTGCCTTTAACTAAACTTTTACAATATTTAAACTTATTGAGCCACTTTTAGGAGTAAAGGACATAATAAAGTAATTTATTTATTAATACACTAAGTTCTAAGATAAGGTAACTAGTTAACATTTGGTGTCCAATTAAGGAAAATACAGAAGAAAAACCTATGTTAAAAATCTGATTATTATAACACTGACAGATTCAATTCAGATTCAATTACCGAATTGAGTGCTGCATCATTTTCAGTGATGGGTAACTAGATTATTCACAAGCCAAACATTGAAAGAGAGCGGATTTAAACTTTGATACTGATGTATTAAATAAATCAATATCTGTGAATTTTTTATTGTAGATGTTAGTGGAACGATACACAAATGAGTTACGTGTATAATTTTTATGATATCGTGGAGTTACAAAAAGTGGTTTTGGACGTGAGGAGCGAACTGGCAGACGGACTCTGGAGACAAATGACAATCTGCTAAGTAACAACGAGGAGTCGACTAAGTTATTAATAATTTTGTATAGAAATACTATGTCAAACATTTTACGCCTATTGCAAAGAGAAAGTAAATTGTATTTTTTTAATGAATCGGTGTATGACTGATTTAAAATATTTTGGCGATAATTTAGGGATTTAATAAACAATTTTTGGACTCTTTCTATTCTCCTAATATGAAATTCATAACAAGGGCTCCAAACAGTGCTGCAAAAATCAAGGAAAGATCTGACAAAAGAGAAGTATAAAATTTTTTGAGTTTCGGGACGTTTAAAGGGTGTACTTATTCGTAGTATAAAACCTAAATTTCTAAAAGCCAAAGCTAATATGTGATCAATGTGTGGAATAAATGATAAGTTCGAATCCATAAATGTAATCCCTATCCGCAGTAATACTTTGAAAGTAGGATGTGCGTCTGTTCATATTTCGAGCTTCAACCATATTAGCCAGATTATTTTCTAAATTCATTCGTTGCCTAATTATTTCTAATATTTCTGTGGCATATATATTATCTACAAAGCGAACACCAAACCTGTTTAACAGAGCCGCTGCTATTTAGAAGTTTTGCATCATGTGTGGTAGAGACCTATGGAAATATTCTTGTCGAAACAATTTAAAATCTCTTTTAAAATGACCATTCATGGCCTCTACCACCCATCTGCAAATTGTGACACAGCGACTCCGATTGGCCTGAGCAGTAGTGAGTTGGTGTTCACCTTCTATTAATGATTCTGGCATATATGGTTTGTACCCACATCCTTCTAACAAACTTGGACTGTCTCTGAATCCCCTATCCAATAATATATATTATATATATATATATTATGTAGTTTGAACTTTTATTTATAACGAATGTTGGATTTTTCACATTCGCGAACGCGAATGCGAATGAGAATATTTTAAAATTTCAAAAAAAGCGCGCGTGAAATGTTTGACAGGTTTGATGATTCTTGTCGGCCATGTTTAAATTGAACATAGCCGAGCCGATATTGGTTAATTGAATGAATTTCACAGAAAGTTCATTCTAAAAGTTTTGTTTTGTTTTGAGGTTAGTTTTATGTTATTTATCAAATTTAACTGATATTTAAGGGACAATGTGGCATAAAAACATGAGTAAAGCACACATCAGCGAAGTTTGGACTTATTTTACAATATATGATGCTGAAAATGTTAATTGCATGTTGTGTGATAAAAAGTACTCAAGCAAAGGCAGGACCACTAGTGCTATGAGAAATCACCTGGAAACTAAACACAAAAATGAATATGAAGAATTGAAAAAAAGAGAACATGAAAAGCAAGATGCTGCTAAAATTAATTCTTTGGCGTCCTCTTCGTGACAATGTACCAAAACTGACCTTAAGCAAATGTCTTTGAGTGATTGCGTTGAAAAAAATAAAAAGTGGGATAACAACAACACCAAGTCTTTGGTGCTGGATAATTTGATTGGCGAAATGATCGCACTGGAGCACTTACCATTTAGGTTTGTGGAATGTCTTGGATTTGTGAGATTGATTAACCGATTATGCCCTTCATATAATTTAAAAAGTCGCCAATATTTTACTTCCTTCATTTGTGAGAAATTATACGGCAAGGTAAAAGATAAAATTATGGAATTAATCAAATCATTTCAAAAATTAGCATTAACAACTGATATCTGGTCTGACTCTTGCTCTGGAGTGTCGCTGATAAGTTTCACTTGTCACGGAATTACCAATAAGTATGAACGAAAAATGATTATATTGAAAGCAGAAGTATTCAATGATGGGCGACATACAGGAGAAAATATAGCGGCAAAGTTAGAAACTATGTTGTCATCATGGGGAATTCCCAAAGAAAACGTATTATGTATTGTTAGAGATGGTGGCACTAACATGAAAAAAGGTATTTCTTTATTAAGTATTAAAAACATTGATTGTTTATCGCACCAAATCCAACTTGTTGTTAAAGAAGGGCTTACGTCACAAGAATCTATCATTGCAGCCATTAACAAATGTAAAAAGATAGCACCACATTTTCACCACTCTAATGTAGCTCAAGATGAACTTGTTCATCTACAAGAAAAGCTTAATCAACCAAAGCTCGAGATAATCCAAGAGTGTGTTACGAGGTGGAATAGCACCTTTTACATGCTGGAACGCATTTTGAAAAACAAAGATTCGCTGTGCCTTTATGCTTCCACCAGCAACAAAATTTCACAACTAACTTCTGAAGAATGGATACTTGTGGAAAAATTGATTACATTGCTTCAACCTTTTGAAGAAATAACTCGAGAACTAAGTGCAGCCAATGTTTCCATATCCATATTCCATATAATGTTTGATTAATATAATGCATCTGACGAGTGCATTAGGAACACTATTCTTGTTTTAAAACAAGAAATGAGACACAGATTTTCTCACTTAGAAAACGACATATTATTTGCTACAGCAACGTTTATTGATCCTAGATACAAAAGGAAATTCTTCAAAAATCCTTCAACAAAAGATCAAGTCATGAAAAATATTTTAGATTCACTTGGAGATGAGGACTTAAGTTTGCCGTCATGTTCAAAGCCAAAGCGTCCTAAAATAAGAAATCAGGATAATGAAAACTTGGGCTCCAGTACCAGTCTTTCAGAAAAATCTGTGACATTAAAAAAAGCTATGAAAATTATGATGGACTCAAGTGAAAGCGAGGAAGAACTAGGTAATGATATTCCAAATCCATTAGAAGTATTAATAAAAAAAATATTAATGAATATGTTTTGGATAAACGTATAGAAAATGAAGAAGACCCACTTCTTTGGTGGAAAGTAAATAGCAACAAATATGGCATTCTTTCTCCAGTAGCCAGAGAATATTTTGTAACTCCGCTCACAAGTGTCCCCAGTGAAAGAGTTTTCAATGGAGCTGGACTACTTTACACACCTCACCGAAACAGGCTGCACGGAGAAAGAGCCTACAAATTTTCATTTTTAAAATTTAACATTCCATTGCTTCAATTTAATCATTAAGAATTAAAAATTACAACAAATTTAATAATTAAATAGTCAACATGTTATTAGAAAAACTATATTTTGTGTACCTTCTTACTTACTTATATATCATTATTTTTATACATAGATAAATAACTTGCAATTGAAACCAAATGTTAACATAACAAGTATTAGAAGTTCACTTTAGATTAAAATAAAAATAATTATAATTTTGTTTTTGAAAAAAGGTTTATGTACAAATAGTTAAGTATTCGTTGTTTTGTTTTTAAGTTTATATTTCATTCATTATAAATATATTTAATTCCTCAGATATATAAAGTGGAATGAAAAAATATACATTTTAAATGTATATTTTTTCATTCCACTTTATATATCTGAAAAAAAAAGGTTATAAATACTTAATACATTAGATATTTACAGTTTAATAATTTTGTTTCAAGTAATTGTTTAGTTTTTTAGTAAATAGAAACTGTAAACTTTATTTAAAAATGGTAGTAAAGTAATAATATACTACTAAATAAATGCAAACCTTACATAGTTGTAACAAGGCTGATTAATGTTAGATTTGATCAGATCTCTGAAGTTCTTTTTTCATAAATGAGACTTTAATTTAGAATGTAGAAGTATGATTTAATAAAAATATCTAAGTGTTATCTATTGTATTATTATTTCATATGCATGCATATAATAATTTCCTTTTTGATTATACAGAATATCCGTTACATCACAAATATATATATATGTTCCATCACAAATAACAATAGCATTGGTGTTGTTTTCATTTTCAAAAATGCCATGTGGTATTGTTAACATGTGCTCCAGCAGTTGCTCTCGTGTTAACTGGTAAATTCCCAAGTTTTGGGGCACAAAATCTTGGAGCAAAATCTCTCTTATTTTGTCTATTGAATTCTCTAATGTTCTGCTTGGCACTTGTACTGAAGTGGCAATTCTTTTATCTGAATCCCCTGTCCTAATTTTCATTAAAAGTGCTGCTAGGTCCAAGCATCCTTTTCGTGCTTCATTTAAGCGTGGAACTTCTTCTAATATACTGTTGAACTTTTCTTTAGTAAGTCCGATCCAGTATTCGAATACTCTGTCATCTATTTCAAGAATATTTTCAAAGTCCAATGTTGTATTAATCTTTATAAAAGAAAATACATGTTGCACTTGGTCTGCAGTGAAAGTGTCCAAACTATTTGCAAAATCATATAGTGTCTCCCATAAATTGCTACTTAAATGTTCACTGCAAACACGAGCTAGTTTAGGTATGTAGTAGTTGTGATTGCTCTATTTTTTGATTGAACTATAGCACGGAGCTTGTCACCGATGCCATGTAATTTAGTACTGTTACAATCCTTGAAAACACGATTGTTGTTATTAGCTGCTCTTCTATAATCTGGTAAAGTTAGTCCATTTTGTGCGCGACTCACTTCCTCATTTGAAACACATGACTGCACTCCTGCTAATATAGGCTCATCTGCTGTTGATGGCTCCTCAATTGCAGATTGTGGTCTGTTGACATCATGGGTACTGTTAGGAGGGCCGCTCTGAAGGTGTTTTTTTAAAAAAAAAACTTTTACACCTAATCCCGGAAGTTCTTTTGGTTTATTTCCCCAATATTAAAATAATACAAAAAATGTACAAAAGCCGCGAACGGCGTGTGCGATATGCACTTAATATGGGTTGGAGCTGCACTGCCTCGATTTCTTCAAACACTTCGCTTTTATACTAAATAAAATAATCGAGTCAGCGCTTTTAACTAACTAGGGTTGGACATAACATCTCCTTTTTGACGGAGCTCATCCTTCTTTTAAATAAGGGATGAGCAGAGTCTTACAAACAATACAGTGAAAATATAAGATAATTTGAATACAAAAATAATCATAAAATAGTAAAATAGAATTAGTTCAATTATTTATTATTATAATAAAATATTAATAATAATAATAATGGTTTATTCATAAACACGGTCTTACAAATATATATACCATGGTAGACTTCTTCTATTGAACGCATAATGCGCCCGTATCAGAAGTAAGCCCCTCTTCCATATCATACAATTTATTAAAGCAAGAACCGCTTGTACTAAATTTAAAGAAATTGAAAATAGTGTAGTGTTTGTGTGTGTGGTGAATGTGTAGTGTGTGTGTAATATGTGCGTAGTGTATGTGCGTGTAATGTGTTGTATGAAAGTTTCCATACTTTTCCCTCTGCACAGCCCTACGACATAAAAAGTCTTGGGATCAGCGTTAAGCCACTGAGCAGAGTTGGTAGTTACATATACAACTACATGGAGGTTATGTGTATATGTATGTAATGAATGAGTGATTTACACATAAATATCCTCATATCAAAATTCTAATTTTAACAGGTTTTCAACTTCAATAAATTCTAATGTCGTCAGCCATTCAGTGAGTTTTATTTTACAGTTTCTATAAGTCATAGGGATATATACCAAGTATTTTATTTATTTTATTATATAAAAGAGCCGAGATGTTTTTGTACTGATTGCGAGCAAATTTAGTCTTGGTGTAATTTACTGTGGCGACTCTATCTTTTCTTCTTTTAGTTGATATATTGGATATATTAAAGGACATATGTTTATATGTAAAGTTTACGAACTGTCAATAAATCTGCATATAAATACAATGAATTTGTTGAAAACTGACGTGTTTTGAAATACATAATTTTTAACAATACCCTTTGAGCTCGTTCTAATTGTATAAAATGAGTTTTTACAGCACCACCCCATATCGTTATACAATAAATCAAAACAGATTGTGCCAACACAATATAGATCCGATCAAGTAACTTTTTATTTGCAATGTGTTTTGTGTTTTAAATATCCACATTAATTTACGTAATCTGCCAGAAACTAATTCGACATGAGACATCCATGAAAGTCTCTGGTCCATTAAGACACCAAGGTACTTTGTAGATGTTAGTCTAGTTATAGTGGGGCAGTTGCAATTCGTGTTAACTAGCGGCTGACAGCAATGAATCTTAATATCACTGGGCAAATTAGGCAGACTGTTTTTTATGGAAAACAAAATATAGTTTGTTTTGTTGGTATTTAACGTTAGTAAGTTAAGACTTGCCATATCGAAATCACAGCCAAACCGTACTCTGTATTTATTTTTAAATTGTTCAAGGAGTCGCCTGTAAACACAATGACAGTGTCGTCAGCATATGAGAATATGCTAGCATGTGGGATCTTCATATTGCAGAGTTCGTTTATGTATATTAGAAACAGGGTGGGCCCTAAGACGCTTCCTTGCGGCACGTCATAAGTGACACTAGTTTTTTGACTTATATGTGAACCTATTTTACACTCTGAGTCCTACCAGTCATGTAACTTTTATACAAGTCCAGGGGCACACCTCTAATCCCACAGTTTTCTAACTTCTACAATAGAATTGGGGTAGACACGGTGTCAAATGCCTTTTTAAGATCAATAAACACTGTAAGGCAGTTTATTTTTTTATCAAGATTATTAACAACTACAGAAGTAAGGGCTTCTACAACGTTTTCAGTCGATTTCCCTGCTTGAAAGCCAAATTGTGAACTGGATAAGATATGGAACTTATTGAGGAAACTTATGAGCCTCTTGTTGATAAGTTTTTCTATAACTTTTGATATTGCTGGCAATACTAAAATTGGTCTGTAGTTGTTGATATCATTCTCATCTCCACTCTTATGCACAGGTGTTACTAGGGACTCCTTGAGCAAGGACGGAAATATACCTTTGCGAAAACAGAGATTGACTAAATGACAAAGAACTGGCACAACTTCTGCTCTTACAAGTTTTAGGAAACTAGCTGGAACGTTATCCCAGCCTGGTGCACTGTTAGATTTTAATGCCATCAGAATAGAGTGTACTTCTTCTATATCTGTATCGTAGAGAGCAAAAGATGATATCTGAGAATTTGTACAAAAATTTTGCATAAATTGAGTCTTGTTTGGCTGGACAATCGCATCGCCTAAGTTTTTGCCCACACAACTAAAGTAGTTATTAACTTGATCAACGGAATCACCTGCGCAATGCCCAATCTGCAGTAACTTTGTGTTATCCCTTTTAGAGTGCTTCCGATATGTTACTTTAGCAATATTTTTCCTTACATTTTTAGAAATTTATTGTTTACATGAAATTAACCCTTTCGTTAACAAGTCAGCAGGCATCTCTTTTATTGAAATATATCCAACATCAACTAATTTATTTTTAATAGCATCTTTTACATCATGAAATCGTACATCAATATGTTTTGACCTATTGTGTATCTGATGGTTTGTTGCTATTTTTAATGCAATTTGGTTATCGCAAAATATCTTAATTACATATTTCTTATCAGT